GGTTAACAAAAATTTAAAGCGACCCCTTTAGAAAAAGTTGTGGGGTTGGGTACCTTTTAACCCCCCCCGTATTTTTTTTTTCTCATAAAAAAACTTGCTTTATCGATCTAAAAATCAAAAAGAACTATGAATTTTTAAATTTTTTTCATAGTAAAATGAACATGTTGTCTAAGAAATTTATATAATGCTTAGCTGTTAATCGCCCATCAATTTTCCAGCACATTCCAGGATCATTATTGCTTACGCCCAAACATTGATAACAAATCGCCCACTAATAATAATAATAGTACCCAATTCATAATTCTTTTTAAATATTGAGTTTCTAGGACGATAAACTCGTAGCCTTCTGCTTTTGGAAGAATTGAATATCTTTTTATCAAAGAATACCATTTTGTTCCAAAATTCCTGCCCGTGAATTAAAAATTCATTTGCAGACTGGGAGTCGATTCTCGACTTGTAGGAACCATTTCCTATAGAAATTTGTGACACTTCCCTATAAGTAGGAAAATGTTATAAATTTCTGATGTATAGAAAAATGTCAAAAATTCCTATAGGAAAAAATTTCTACGAATCGAGAATATCGACCTCTTGGGCTCTCCTACGCATATTTTCAGCAGTTACAAAAAGTTTGATGATAGTTACTTATAGGTACAACATATTTAAATAATCAATAAATACCTATAGGTACGTTCATCAATTATTTGTAGGTACACATATAACTTCATAGATATTTGTTGAAATGATTTAGTTTGGCTTTTTAATTGAATCCAACTCAAAATATTTAATAGTATAGGTATTAATTCAGAAAGAACTAATCAATTAAAATATTAAATTAATCATACCTATATCGTAGGAATTGTTTTTTTTTTTTAGTGAATTTACAAATTTCACTACTTTGTTACATACATCTAATTTATAATTATGAGATAATGAGACGAAAACTGGTTTTTAATTAAAAAACTATCATGTACTGATGAGGTAGATATTCAACTTTGCATTAATTAAAAAAATCATGAAACCTGTTAAATAATATATTAAAAATTAAGTAGGTAGAGATAACCCTACTTCCTATGAGACACCACGCTTCATAAAGATAAATCTGTTTAATTTAAAATAAGCTGTAGTAACACCTTCCTTGTCTATATTTAGCACCAATCTTGGCTTCAATTGAATACATTATTTAATCTGTAGTTAAAATTAGACACAATAATATTAGTTTGTAACCAGTAAACAGGATGCTTGTTTATTTATATATTACTAATGTTGTTGTATCATAATGGGTTGGCATTTAAGAAATTTACAGTTTATTGCAGTTGTGTTTCTGGGTTAATTAATACTATTGTTATCAAATATGTAATTAATTTGTCTTATAGAGGAATTATTACTCTGGGAACATGGCGCTAAAATTACAGCAGGGCAACAATTTAAAAGAGAAACAGATGTTTCTGAAATTTTTACATTTAATTACTAAAATTTTATTTTCACTTAACAAGTGAGGCAAAGGATGCCTCATTTTAAAGATATTCGTGTTTAATTCAATTTGAGAACATTTTGTGATGTGAACTAATGCTAGTTTGAAAAAAAAATTATGTTTGGGCAGGCTTTTTTTGAAGACATGTAGCTGTTGCCATTATTTAAACGTTACTATTGATAATTGTTTTAAAAAGAGATTATATAGATTTTTGTGTGTGTATAATATACTATTTTGTCCTTGTTTTCACGGATTATAAAAATGGTTATACCATGTGAAAATTGTATATGCAAGTAACAGTTGTATTAATTGTGAGATTAATGAATCCAGGGGCCTATTTCATAAAATTACTTTGCAACTTTTTACTTTAGGAAATTTATGTTTCATAAAAAAGTAATTTGACGATTTAAAAAGTAAAATTTGAAAAGCAATTTACAAAGTAAAAATGAAAAATTAATAATCTGCAAATATAACATTATTTTATAAAAACACAAGTATTTTGCATTCGTAAATTTGCATAGTGCAAAATGGAAAGTTTCAAAGTAGTTTTATGAAATAGACCTCTGGTCTCAATTTGGGGCTGAATTACAAAAAATGATATAATAAAAGATCCTGGGCTATTAGTCGAGGTATTGAAGCAAAAAATAATAACAATAGTGAAACAAATAAAAAACAGTAAAAAAAAGTTGAGAAACTATGTACTCAAATTACGTACATGTTTTATTGTCTAAAAAAAGGATCACACACCTATGACATATTCAATAACATAACAAAATCGTTTCAAGTAAAAATTAAAATAATTAAAATTGTTTACACGGATTTATAGAACAAGCCTAATTTATAATACATAGATAAGTCCTAATATACAACAAAAATATAGAATAATTATATAAACGGTACTTTTTTCTTCTTTTTTGCATCAAACAAACGTTTCCTTAACGTTGCAATTTTCAGTCACAGTCTCTGCTTTCTTGGAGTGTTTAATGATAACACACTACACGTTTGAATTTATGCTGTTACACAAGGTAGAGGAACAGATGGTTGACTATGCACTTGTTCAATAGATTCTACTTCTGCCGAAGTTGAGGGTAGACACAAGTTGTCTTTGCCTTCTTCGCCATGAACAGCAAATTCCTCTAAAAAAAATATAAAGAGAAACCAAATTTTTATCTGATCAACTAGTGTCAAGAAGGTGCATCATTTGTCAGAATTAAATGTTTCAGTCACAGTTTTTAGCAAGATGAAATTTACAATAATTTCATAAAATGTAAATATATTTCTGTGCATAGCAGGTAAACTGCACTATGTCATTCTAATCAACTTTTTAGTACAGAAGATTGAATGTTGTTAAATTATTAAATTTCAACTAGACATGCATTTAGACACCCATTTATTGTCACAATATTTGTATTTTTTACTAACCTAACTAATAAAACTACTTTATTTTAATTTGCATAAGTTGTTGTATGTCGACATAGTGCAATTTACCTCCGATGTAGTTCTATAAAATGGAATGTATGGGTTGATATTCTAAGATTATTATTTTATTTTTTAAACTACTAAGGGTCGATCTTTTCATCTCTGGGTAAGGTTACATGTAGGTCTACTTGACAGATTAACAAATATAGTTTAATCAGCAAGTAGTTACTTTCAACTTTACTCAGAGGTGAAAAGACTGACCCTAAATGTAATTTAAAAAAATTACAAGCAAGACGAGTAGCAAACTTTTTGTAACATATTTTCCTTGCAATACTTTGACTCTTTTCGAAGGTTCTGAATGGGGAAATAGTGTCGGGAATGCATTTGGAAATAATCGTTTTCTTGTTCCTGACTGATAAACGAATTTATCCTGGAAGTGCAGTTCACAAATTTTGTAATTTTTGCTTAAGTGTTTAACACTCTTTCCCAATAAGTCCTCCTCATCCTAATCCTCAATCCTCCTCATCCTCCTCCTCAATCCTCGTTATCCTGCTCATCATCCTCCTTATCCTGCTCTCCTCATCCTCCTCCTCATCATCATCCTCCTCCTCCTCATTCTTCTCCTCATCCTCCTCCTCCTCATTCTTCTCCTCATCCTCCTCCTCATTCTTCTCCTCATCCTCCTCCTCATTCTTCTCCTCATCCTCCTCCTCATTCTTCTCCTCATCCTCCTCCTCATTCTTCTCCTCATCCTCCTCCTCATTATTCTCATCCTCCTCCTCATTCTTCTCCTCATCATCCTCCTCATCATCCTGCTTATCATCCTCCACCTCTCCATCCTCCTCCTCATCCTTCGCCTCCTCCTCCTCATCCTTCGCCTCCTCCTCCTCCTCATCCTTCGCCTCCTCCTTCTCCTCATCCTCGTCCTCCTCCTCCGTATCCTCCTCCTCATCCTCCTCCTACTCCAACTCCTAATCCTCCTCTGTACAATAAAGTCTTAAATTTACACTCCACAATTAAAAACGGCAACAAAAACTAAAAACAAACCACTAAAAAAACGTAAAATGTTATTAGAATATTCGCTAAAAACAACCAAAAATCCAAAACGACAAATAGAGACATGACAGGCAAAAACGTATTGATGTTCTGACAGCGACGCGACGGCAGTGACAGCTTCGTTCATCTGCTACAAAAATGTGCACTGTTGCACTTCGAACAAGTAACAAATCTACAATCTTTGTCTAACACTTGTATGCATAGTCGATCGCCAGCGATTCGCCAGAGATTCATTCCGGCGTATCGCCAGCGACTCGCTGGCGAAAGCCAGAAAAGGTGGCAACCCGCTGGCGATTATCACCGACATGTCATTTCTCGCAAGTTTTCATGTTCTTTTATAGGAATTATCACTGGCATCTCTTGCATTTTATTATTGATTCGTTTCTTAAAACTCAAAAAACAATGAACGAATATCAAATTTTTCCCTATAAAAGAACATGAAAACTTGCGTGAAATGACATACCGGTGACAATCTCCAGCGAGTCGCCACCTTTTCGGGTTTTCGCCGGCGGATCGCTGGCGATGCGCCGAAATGAATCTCGAGTCGCCGGCGATCGACTATGCATACGGCTGTTAGTCTTTGCAAACAGGAGTATCTTTATCTCTCGTTTTAATCGATTAAGGTACCAAACGGTTCACTTTTGACAATGCTCTACCATGAAGAAGGTGTGGCTTCGGTTGCTAGGTTCCTATTTTTGCCCTATGTTTCTTTTCTGTATTGTTCTTTCATCCTGTGACTATATAAAAATGTCCAGGAGACTTTTTTTTGACTTGTGAGTCAAGTCTAAAAGAATAAAGGTAGAATACATATATTTAAAGGTGTACATTTAAAAGATTTTGGGTTCCGTACACTCTTAAACTGCGTTTTATTGTGAGTGAAGACATTTAGAGTTCTTCTTGTAAAAGCCAGACCATATCAGAAATGTTTCAAAACTCCTAACAGTAAACTTATATCATGTTGAACAAATATAATAATTGATGATAATTTATATCAACTAACAGTATAAAACTAAAACAATTTTCATAATACTCATAATATTTTATATTATTGCAGCAATTCGCCAATTCAGAATGTATTACCCACAAAAGATGAAAATGTAGTGGATGTTATTAAAAATGGTGTTAAAGATACACCTGTCGAACCTTCATTGGAAATTAGAAATAAAATACAATCTACTGTAAGTGTAATAACATTTTTTTTTTTTTTTATATTTTTCTTTCCAATAAAACACTATATTAGTGATAACGTAATTTGTATGCCAGAGAATGTGGGTTTTTTTATAAGTAAATTACATAATTTTTAAATTTTTTTTTATTATCGAGCCAAGAAGTAATCTGAAAGGAATTATAACTTCACAATTTATTTTCTTCTAATTATTGATTAATTTTTATGCTTATAATAAATCTTTTGATCCCCATTACATACACCTTACTCTTACCTTTATAACTTTTTTTTTATAGAATATACAACTATCCCAAATTTCTACACCAGAAGAAACAAAGGAGTGGTTGTCCCAGAATAGATTCGAAAAATATTTGGATACATTCGAAAGCTTTTCTGGAGACGATATGCTTAGAATGACTAGAGAAGACCTGATGCAAATATGTGGAAGTGCTGATGGAATCAGGCTTTACAATGCAGCACACTTGAAGTAAGTTTTTAATATTTTATTTTTATTGTTTTTAAACTTTAATAAGACAATTACATCTCATTGTTTTATTGGTGTAAAACCACTTTTTTGGGATCTGTTATTCGCTCTTTCACTCCTAACTCCTATTCTATATAGTGACCCTTTAAAGGCATAAGTTAAAATTATCTGTAACAAAAAGCCCTAAAATGTTTTTCTAACGTTATTCATTTTGAAATAATTAAAATTGATTACAATGGCAACCCTTTTATCTACATAATTTACCATTTCTCATGAAGTAGAAAATCCATTGTTTGGTTGATAAAATGAAGTTTAATAACGTTCAATTATTTTTGTAGAACAATAGCGCCGAAATTAAAAATGTACGTTTGCCAGGAAAATACGTCCGTTTTCAATGCCGTATTTTTATCTTCCTACAACAACAAGGAGCTGCTGCAAAAACTATCGACGCTGGTAGGCATCTCTCAAAACCAGGTGCGCGATATATACTTGGAAGGACCGCATTCCATTCACATTCAACTCAATAACGATCTCTTGAAACATTTCAAAGAGGAGACGATGTTTACGTTACAAATAATATCGGAAGAAAATAACAGTTGTATTTTATTGTTAAAACGTACAGTCAAATGAATGTGTACTAGTTTAATAATAAAAAATGAAGAATCGTTAACATATCCATTTCTTAGTTTAAAACAATGAAATGGAGAGGGGTAGAATGATAACTGTCAATGAGAAAGTATATATACTATGCACAATTATCAAGGGACCAAAAACGTGCTTCCCTTAACAAAAACACTTCTAGTGAGGTTTTTAGTCTAAGTTTGTATTATATTTTTGGTGTTTTAGAATTTTTTTTGGTGTATTTAGTTGAAAAATGGCATAATTTATTATCTTTTAAGATTATATGAATACTGATTGTATGATTTACAATAAGGTCCATTTGTACCATTTAAGTTCAGGCGAGGATCAACTAAACTTGGTTTTGATTGCGACATTTGGGTATAGTTAGTACGACGTTTGTCACAGTCTAAACCAGGTTCAGTTGAACCTCCCTTAAACTGGATTGGTACAACAGTCAAGTAGTAATGAAAAAGTCAGATTAAGGAACTTTTGTTTTTTTTGTCCATTCTGACAGGACATTGATTGATTGTCTAATTTCGTTTTGCACGTTTTGTAAATAAGATGCAGGGACGGTTTAAGAACATTTTGTGCAACAATTATAAAATAATGCATCTGAAAATAATTAACAAGTATAATTTAATACTAAATCGAACTCGAAGTACAAAAAATCACAAATATAAGCAAAATAACAAAGAATTGACATCAAAAAAGCTTACAACAGCCTCAACACCAACAAAAAAAGAGCTGAACATGAACATAATCGCTGAACAAAGGCAAGTCTGGAATTTGTTTACAGTGTTTTAGGGCAATCTCTCCTTGTCATTTTCGTGTATAAGAGTGGAAGGTTGAATCATGCATAATTTATAAAATCGTGATGGATGCACAGACGGTACCTTATAATTCTACCCTCTCTACTTCTTTGGTTTAAAATATCAAATAGTTTTGTCATAGGTATTTTATAGTATTCATATGTAATTAAGAACAAACTAAACCTGGCGAAAAGCAAAAATGTTGTGAGGATTTTCTGATACAAAATTGCATTTATATTAGGGTGATTCATTTCCGCAGTTTTTTTTCGGTGCTCTAGCAAAATATTAATCTACATATACAAAAAAAAATCTCACCAAATTTAAAGTTTTACCATGTAAAAAATATATTTTTTTTAAATTTCTAATGATTACCCACCTTTTACAACAATGCAAATCGGTTTGATGGACTTTGTAGGGAATTTCATGCTCTTCAGAGTTTTTTTGTGCAACTCGCACTGGTTCACCCACGGGAGTCGGATTCCATGTAAATAGTTGGTAACAAGTTTACTTAACCTCGACAGTAGCGCGCTAAGTGCTTACGGTTGAACTACAATTGTCAGTTTCGGTCGATAAAGTAGGACGCTACTAAGTAAAGCGATTTAAAAATGGCGGGCTTTATAATTTAGATATTTGAAGCAATTTGAAGTAACACTTCCGATTCTGACATCGTGGTGTCAAGATTGAAATGGTGGTCTCAGAATCGGGAGTCATGCGTGTGTGTGTTTCTGTAAAAATCTTAAATAAGAATGGTCATCGATTAGTGAATCTTGCCTTAATGGGATTATGCATCTTGTGAAGAAGTTTCAAATACATATTTTAATTATATTACTTAAGGGTATACAATTGTCGAGATCAAGACAACGATACCCTCCCGTTTTGATAGCTGGGTAAATTGTCCTGGATATAGCCCAAAAAAAGGAAGAAGAAGAAGAAGTAGTAACATTTTCCTATTTGACAACTTTTATTTACAACTACTAAACAAACAATAAGTTTAGTGAATTTTTGTTGTAGGTAAATATTGAAAAATGGAAAATATCACTTGTTTTAACTAAAAAAAAAAAAATACGTGTGGCACTCGGGGACTGCCGCGGTAAAGCTATTGCATAGCATTTTTTATCAACTTATGCAATTATAAATATTTATTTTATTTATGCAGTATTGTTTTTTTGATATTAATTCAAGTTACACTTTTTGAGCGTAATGACCGATAAGAAAACATTTTTTTTTCTTTTATTGAATAAATTCTGATTTTTAAGAAAATTGTTGAACTAAAAGTTGTTTGCGATATCGATCTCTATAATTTTTGTTTTTACATGATTTTTCTAAAATGGACAGTAATGAAAAAATTGTAGGAAATTTAAATTTTTCAGTATTTTCGTTTTCAATGAATATCTATAGAAAAATGTTTCGAGGTAGATGATTGTGGAAAATGTATATATTTAGTTTCTAAACATTTATAGAGGTGCTACAATAGGTTGTACAAAATAACCGGAAAAAGCCTATAATAACTAGATAGGAAAGTCATCAGATTTTTTTTATGAGTGTAAAACGGACTTACGGTTGAAAGAAACATGGAAACAACTCCCGCCATTTATTCAAACCTTCTCTTTTTATTTTTTTATGGGTTCACCAGTAGGAGTCGTCAAAGTACAGTTTTTGAAAAAAACCGCCAAAAGTAGGAAGAAAAAAGGGCTGACTCATAAAAAAGAAGTTATCTGACCAATATTTAATGAATTTAGAGCCATTTTATGCCTGAAAACGTAAGAAATTGTTAAATATTAGCTCATAATGTTATTTAGATTAATTTTTTCTATTGATTACCATTATATTACCCTACACTAAGAACTTTTTTTAGAATTATTATGATTTCTCAGTCATAATGAATATAATTTCGAAGAACGTGAAATTCCCCACAAGGTCCATTAAACCGATTTGCAATATTGTAAAAGGTGGGTAAGTATTAGAAATTAAAAAAAAAAATTTACATGCATTTTTAATGGTAAAACTTTAAATTTAAATAGTAAGTACTTAAAATTGATATTAAGAGCTCAAACTTGGTGAGAATTTTTTTTTCTATATGTAGACTATTATTTTGCTTTAGCACCGAAAAAAAAATTTTTTTTTTGCGGAAATGAATCGCCCTAATGTATATGTGCCCCACTGGGAATAAGTTCCGATATTATGCGTCTCCAGAATATTGAGAGCTTTAAATTTGTGCCCACGATGAGGCATTTAAGAAAAAGAAGGTTGGTAAACCAAACCCTCCCATTTAAAAACAAAAAGTTTCAAATTTTCATAGATTTAATACAGAAATGTTTTTTTTTAATTCCTTTTAAAAAATTTCAAAATAAATACCTCTCGAAAAATCAATGTTTCTCTACCATAAGTTTTGTTATTACTGGTATTTCTTTAAAATTTCACACAAATTATACCAAAAATAAAGGCTTCGAAGGAATTAGAAATATTTAAGGTATTTGGTTTGCTCTTAAAACAAAATTTATATTTGAATACTATAGTTATATCATTTTTAATATCAAATGTAGATATTGTAAAGGCATGAACATGTTTAGAAAATGTTTGTCATTTCTAAATCTGTTCAAAACTCTTTATTTTTAATATTTTTTCCATTATTAAGACTTCTTATGAAGTAATAAATAGTGAGATGTTAAAAATATTTATAGGTTTTTTTTTTATAATGCGTATGCTTTAAATTAAAAATATACAGGGTGACCCGTAGATATACCGACAAACTTTTTGGAGATGGTAAGGTAAATTAAAATAAATATTTTTTGTTTAATGAAAGCAAAATTTCCGAAATGCAGTGAATTTTATACATAAATAATAACGCCCAGTAAATAATTGAAATTTTTAGAATTGTTTTGATTAAAAGATGTAAAAAACTTCTAGGAAATGGTAAGGGACATTAAAATAAATATTTTTTGTTTAATAAAAGCAAAATTTCTGAAATACAGTGAATTTTATACAAACATAATAATGGCCAGTAAACAGTTGAAAGTTTTATAATTGTTTTCGATAAAAAATCTAAAAATACAACTTTTTCTTCTTGATATTTTTCTGTATCTATCTTCGTTTTCGAGTAAAAAATTAATGTGAGAACTTTTGCATGTCTCTGAAATATCTAAAAACAACATGAAACGATAACGAACCTACGAAAAAAAAAAAATATATCGGCACAAAAGTTGTATTTTTGGTTGCTTTATCAAACGCATAAATATTTTAAAAATATACAAGGTGATATCCTTTTTTTTTTTAGCCAAAAAGTGTCCCGTGGGCAAACCTATGAAATTTTTGGATAAACGCGAATAAGTCCAAAAGATATCTCATTAAAATCTTAACAAACTGTGATCATTTCATTAAAATCGGTTAAAAAGTGTTCAAGATATCATACATTTATTAAGAAAAACCGTCTATTTTGATGTATCCTACCACCCCTAAACGTTTATCAATATATTTACGGGATACCCTGCATAGTTTAAATTCCTAATAATATTTAGAATTAGACCTGTAAAACTAACAAAATTCCAAAAACTAATAGAATAATTCATAAAGCATTTTTAAATTTACCCACATGTAAAACCTTGAAAGGTAGAAACGTCAATATGAAATAGAGTTGAACGATATTTCACGAAATGTTATTTACTTGATGAAATTTTGCTAAATTCTCATTCTTTACTTAATTTTCTAACGAATTTTTATTTTTTTCTAGAAAAATATTAAACACGTTAACTGCGGGAACGTTTTTTTAAAAACTAGGTCTTTATGTCGCCTACATAAAACTTTCTATTTGGCTTACTTAAGATTTATAAAACTTCTCTACTTGCTAAGATTATAAATTCTCAATTTTTTTATGGTGTTTAATGTTATTGGTAGCGATCAAATCCTTATAGAGTATTCTAACCTTATTTGTAAAATGTACGAGGTAAGTTTGATCTGAATATTTAATTTGCTAATGATTTTAGAACGTTACTCATTTATTTGAATTGTACTAATCACAGTAAAGATTTAAAGTGTGATTGAAATATCACGTCATCGTTTAAATTTACCTTTTCTCTAAAATGGTTTTGCACATAGATAACTACTTAAAAATGCTTTGTGAATATGGATGTAAAAGTTTTGTATCCAGTTGTACCTTTTATAATAATATGAAAGTTGATTTATATTTAACTTGTTAATTTGTTTATGTTTGACTGAATTATAAATGCTTGATGCTCTTAAAGGGGCATTTTAAAGTCAATGTTATACAGGTACGGAAATCTAAACGTGAACACTCTATTTTACAATTAATAGAACTAGGTATAATAGGACCATACGTGAAACAAACAAAAAAACTGAGGCCTGGCGCACATAAGACTTCCACTTCATTCCTATTTACGCTTGTCCCTCTACAATAGATTTGGCTTATTTATATTAGATTTAAAAGGAGTAAGACATTAGTCGTTTTATTTTTACAGGTATTCTTGACTAACTAAAAGTTAGATTCTGATCTAAGCTAAGTTGTAAAAAGCACGCGAATTTTAGTTGACAGGCGACGTGTCTCATGTCATCCGTTTAAAAACAATCGACAGTTTTATCAAATTTTATAATTTCTTCAATATTCAACACTACGATCTTGCCCCTGTTATCATAGTCTTTTAATCTCTCTAAAATAATGAATTCATAGAATATGTTTGTTGGTATGATGCACAGAACACTCACTTTCTGTTATGGTTTATGGTTGAAGTCAAGATCTGTGTACCTTAGCGTTGGTAATGGTCTAAGAAAGATTGTGACAAAAAGGACGTACAACTAAGCTTAGTCGTCGTTGTAAGTTAGCTCAGATTAGTTGTAAAAAGAAAACGACTATTATTTTTCCTTTTCAGATCTATTATTTAGAGTGTATCGTCTAACTGGGTCTCTTTTATTAGCCTTAGTAGCTTCGGCAGTGATTTCTGCACGTAGTTACATACTTCTGGCTTTTTTTCAT